TTTGCTTCCCACTGCCTTATAATGCCCCAAGCCTTCCGATTATCTTTGACAAGCATATCGATGATGTCGGGTTGGCTTGTGCTTGCTATGACAATAGCTCTCTCACCAAGTAGGCTGCTAAAGGGAATGTTGACGTCCTTGTTACTGTCATTTAGGTCAACTCCCTCTCTGGGAAATTCAGAGTTGCTTCCACTATGTTGTTCTTCCTTGATGTTAGCGAGTTCGTGTGATGTGGTGGTTGGTTCATCACATTAGGGCTCCACCTTCAATGTGGTATAGTTGAACTTTTGGAATTCTGTTTGGGTTGCGAAGAGCTCACTGGCATTAACCTAAAATGAAAAAGTCATTTTAGTTAACGTACATATTTGGGTGGTGTCATGATGTGAATGTTTTCAACATTTGAAGGTCATACCTCATTAATACCAAGATCAACCAACGATGTGGATCTCATTTTCCGGTGTAAAGCAATCAAGTCCCATTTGACACAATGAGGAATTGCAATGGGCTTGTGGGGTTGTAGGATGATTGTGTGTTCACACAACTAGTACTTCAACAAACAACAAAGACGTTATTTTGCTATTTCAGAGCAATCTCAACCGATGTAAACATTCACACCAATGCCACAGATGTGAAAGTGAACATTCATAACAATGCCACATATGTAAATGTGAACATTTATAACAGTGCCACAAGTGTGAAGGTGAACATTCACAACATTGGCATAGGTCTGTTGTGAACATTCACACCAGTGGCATAGATGTGAATGTTCACATTTGGCAGAGATGAAAACACTCAAGAACATACGAATGTCAATATTTGGGAACATGAGTACTTACCATCAATAACATGACACAACCGGTAACTTTTGCTAGTTTTAGTCGTTTTGGGAAATAGAGGATGTCAGCGTTGTTCAAATTTGTTTAGCCTAATCATATTCTTGCATGATTTCTAATGGGACCATATGTGCATAGTAGCCCCATCCTATTGTCTCGCCGCTTGTCAAGAAAAAAAAGATTCTGGCATACATGCATGCAGACTAATTGCGCGATTTCTTTGTTGTCATCTTTCTTCTTGTCATTCAATGCCTCGGTCAAAAGGGTGCGTATCCATTTCGAAGTCAACCGGCTAACATTTTTACACCTTTTCTGTATAATGCCAGTCTTTGATTTCGCATCATATGATATGTCCATTGGTTTGATGACACAATCCACACAAAAAATCATCTTAATGTCACTGTCGTGTATGTTCATCTTCTTCTCCGCAATGTAGAAGGCATCTTTTGATGCCTTGTACGTCTATAGGACATACACAACATCATCGTACTTCACGCATTGGTCAAGGTCGATCTCACCGGTTCTCAATGCATTTAATAAATGCCAGAAAGGTGTTTGCCGCAGGCAACCGAGCTATGCTTGTGTGAATTTGGTGCTTTTCATTAATTTCACCAGCCCGATCATGTTAAATCTGTAGTTGACACGACACATGTCAACATTGTTGCTAGTATTTGCATGTGGTCTTTCTTCTTTCACATGATATTCGTCTCTTTTAGGTTTTTTTATGTGCAATATATGCAAAATAGAGCATAAAATTCAAGACAAGACTCATGCGATCAGAATATGTAACAAATGGTATATGTTGCCAACAACATTAGTTATATAAACATTCAAAATAATATTGTGTGGGTGGATGTGAACATTCACAACATTGCACAAATGTGAATGTCCACAGTTATGTCGACAGATGGATGTGAATATCCACATCTGTCCATGGATGTGGATGTTAACTGTGCCAGCATAAACACATTGTGCACAGTGTGTGTAAAGATCACTGTGTGTTGATACAACCATGAAGAACATTCAAGAACATGGGAATATTAAACCAAACAGATCAAATTATGTTGTGAACATTCACACTACTAATTTGGATGCCAATGCACAAAATTATTACAATCATGCAATGCCGATGTTATAGGTCAACCTCAAAATCGAAATACAGTTTCAAACATGGAATAACAAAAATGATATGTTTCCCCTAAACACAGTGGTGAATGATCACAAAGTGTATAATCAATTTACACAAGTTATGAATGTTCACAACATAATTATATGTAACAACATCTTACACAAGCAAGTTGGACAACTGTTTTTTGTTTTCATGTGAATGTTCACTATTGTTAACAACAACAATATGAGGGGCATGAACAGTAACAATTTGAAATTACACACATTGTATGAATAGAAACAGGGGATATGTGTGGAAATTCATATTGACGCAATTTGAATAGGACATGCACATGATCAAAAAATACAACAAGAAGAACATCTGCAACAATTGGATTGGCCCAACATATTGACTAAGACATTCAATTTGAATAAGGCATTCACATGAACTTCCACATTTGTCAAATGTTAACCCAACATATCAAATTATGTCATGAACATCCACACTTGTAATTTAGATGACAATGTGCATACTTATTATAGTCATGCAATGCCAATGTTACAGTTCAACACCAAAATTGAAATACATTTTAAAACATTAAAGTTGACATGGAAATAACAAAAGTGATATGGTTGCCCTAAACACATTGGTGAATGTTCATATTAATTTACACATGTTATGAATTTTCACAACAACAACATCCGAAACAAGTAAGTTGGAGCATGATTCTTTGCTTTCATGTGAATGCTCACTAGTATCAACAACAACAATATTAGGGGCAAGAATAGTCTGAATGTTCACATATGAGTATCATTCAACAAGAATATAGTGGAAACAACTGTGTTGGTCCACATATTTTTTTCCCCATGTGAATGTTTACTACTATTAACATACAAGCTGTTACTGCAATTTTTGTTGGGGGTGAGGGTTTCACATTCAACGACTAGTAGTGTCAATAACAATAATTGAACAATAAGGGAAATAACAACAATAGTATGAACTTCACACATTGTACAAATATGATCAATAAATTTGAGTGAAAGTTGAAATTATGAAAAAAAAAAAGAAAAAAAAAAAGAGGGTTACAATTTGTATATAAGATTTGTGATGAACAATTATGTTTCTTGACCATTATTGATGATTTGGGTTGCCACAAATGAGACAATGAGACAATAAGATGGTGGCGATTCCGACGAAACAACACTAACAATGGGTAATAACAGCGACAATACGATGGGATTCACGGTGTTTTTGATGATTGTGTTGCCACTGATGTGACGATGACACGATGCAACGATGGCGGTTTCTGGCGAATCGGCAGTAATCACTACGAGGTGATGACAGGCTTCATGATTGGTTTGCGACAGATGCGCTGATGAGATGTGACGATGTGTGTTTTTGATAACCGACTGTGATTATGGTGAACAACGACGCACATACGATGAGATGATGCAAGAGATGAAATATTAGGGATTGATGACCTAGGGTTTGGGATTTTAGAAGGTCGTTGCTTAACTGATTCTATGTTTCAATTCAAACATACAGAAATGCGCGAGAGGCTTAAGGGGTTTTTTGGTCCTATTACACTAAATGAGACCTAATGGGATAATCAAAAAGGGTTTGGGTTTTATGGTATAAAACTCTTAGGAAGGAGATTTATCAAAAAAGCTCCTAAAAAAATCTCAATGTACATCTTTTAATAAATAAAAAGAAACTAAATCCTAATTCCTCCATTTTAGACAAAAAATAGCAGTAAACAAAGTAGATTAGGAGATTTTTATAATCTTTCATTCTTTCTTCTTAGCATCAATTTTCTAGTCAACCAAAAAGATTAAAATCACATATTTATACATCCAATTGAAATAAAGCATTATAAAATAATTAAAAATTCTTTGTTGTGTGGAGGAATTTTCATTACATATTAAACTTTAAAAAAAAAAAAAAAAAAAATTTCAATTGGCTAAATCCAACATTCTACAATAGACTCTTATGAACTAAATCCTAAAAATCATATATATTGCAGTCCTTAATCTCAATCTTATCCCAACTTCTATGGTGGATCAGACCCCTCCCCTTCTCCATCTCCCCAGCCACTCCATTTGTTGCTTTCTTCCTCCATTCCTAGTGTGTTTGTTTACTACCAAATCGTTACCATGATGAAGTAAAAACACAAATTGAACATACTTAGAAAATATGAGGAAGAAGAACTTCGAAAATATGAGGAAGAAGGAATATATATCTGTTATATTCAAAACTTCTTATCTTACAAGACCAAATGACACTCCTTATATAGGAGATATTACAAACATCATTATAACCCATTATATGCCACTTACATATTATATATTACCACTATCATATTATATACATGCCACTATCTACCAAATACTAGGGCTTGTTTGGAAAATGGAAAGATGGGCTTGATGATAGAGATTAATGAAGACAAAAGAGATGGAATTCTTTTGAGTTCAAAGCTGCTATTTGTTAGACCTTCAATTTCCTCTTGATCAGAGTTTACTCTTGACAATAGATCGACTGCATCGGTTTGGCCTTGGACGAATTGCTCATCGACTCCATGAGAGGAGCTAGATTGATGTGAGAGTGTGTGGAAAGATGGTTGAGGTGGTGTGCGTACAAGATATGAGTTAAGGGTATGATTGGAATGTTTGGTGTGTGAAATGAGAATAATAATTAATAATCAAATTACAAAGTGTGTGCACTGAGAAATGATGTGCACTGAGGTAAGTAGATGTGTGGAAATAAAATTTCCCATAAGCATCACACTTACTTCGTTCAACCGAAAAGAGAAAGAAAAGAACTACATTTGGGAAGGGAAAAAGGGACAAAATTTGTGCACATGGCATTTCATGGGCTATGCACACAATGTACAAAGGCAAGTTATTACGGATCACAGTGCAGTACAAAACATAACCATACAAAGGCATAGGAGATTTGATGTTGACAAGAATACAGTACAGCATCTAACAACAAAAAGAGAATGCCACTTCAAAACATTGAATTTCTTGCTAGAAATAAAGAGTGAATCAATGCAAAATTACCGAAGCAAGAACCAATATTGTAAAAAAGTTCAGATGTTGAGAGTGTGAAAGGATCCATTGTTTGATTTGTTTTAGGTGATTGGCCATGATACCACTGTCTTCTTTTTCAGAAGAATCCTTATCTTCCACAACTGCAGATTTGCCATGTGATTTGTAAGCTGCACACACATATAAGTTAATATGCGTTATTGTAATCAACAGTAGCCTAGTTACTATTTCATTTTTACTTACTGAAAGAAAGTAAACAAAACAAACTACACTGTGCAACTCTGAATATCTTCCAAAACACAAGGCGCCTGAAGTCCAATCATCTACCCAACAACTGACCCAACTAAGTTGAACTCCAACTTTTTTAGCTTCTCATTCTAATTTTAAATTTGCAATACAGTGGAAAAAAACATTATGCTTGTTTTACTTTTTAAGTGCGCGCGCGCGCGCGCACACACACACACACTCACACTATTTAAACCAAATCAAACCTAACTAAGCTTGTATTCCAATCAGGTGGGATCAGCTATATAAATCCTTTTTTGCAATCCCGCTTTGTCCCGGACCATATTCCCAGTTAAATTAAATAAATTCATATCCTATTTTACTATCACATCCCATGTCAATTTAGGTTTTTCTCTCCCTAACATTTTCATTTATAATGGTTAGCCAAGTCTCACTCAACTTACCATCCCTTGGTACTACTTTTACCATTTCACGAATATATTCATTTAAGTCAAAGAACACGTGGACTAGGAACCAATCCACATGCAACCTCATACTTACTTTCTTATTTTGTTAGAGGAGATCAGGGAAATAATTAGAAGACATTTCCTTTTTGCTTTCTTGTTCTTTTTCATTAATAGGGACTAAAAGAAAGGGGGAAACCCAAGTACACGTGATTAAGGAGAAGACCCTATAGAAATGTATCTATGTCATCCAAGAAATTGAAAAAATTCTGAAGGTCAGATTTATCCTTTCCTTTCCAATGCCCAAGTATATAAAAAAGACTACAAAATTATACACCATTGCTTTAACATCCTTAAAACACATTTATATACCTCTTCCTCCAAATACACCAAAATAAACAATGAGGAACAATTCCCCACACCTTTTCCCTTTTAAACGTCTACCATTATTACAAAAGAGACTTGTCATTTTTATGATGTAGAATACCTACAGTATTAGCCTTCTTGACAATCTCTGCACACAAAATCATAATAGGTTTGAGATGAAGAAACAAAATCATGTAAAAGCATTTGAGATAAACAGTATGATCGGTCATTAATTGGTATCTCTACCAACAATTTTTTCATTTGTGAGTTTATCATAGTTTTTAGGACATGCATCAAGAGCATAATAACTTGGTACAAATAGTTAACTGTAGAAATTACCTGCCCTAGATATGAAATATGGAGGAAGTTCTCCAAGTGCAGTTCCAATACCCCACAAAATAGCCTCCAACTGAACGTGTGGCAATATGTGACTAAGCTGAACACGTGAATCAGGAGATGCATACAATCGTGGTCCAAATTCAGAGCAGTCCCTATCCAGCCATGAGGGACCACTTTTCAATTGAATTGTATCATATGGGGCAATCTTTATATCAACCCGCCCACAATGCACAGATTTTATGGTAAATAGAGCGATGTGTGGGCCCAAATACAAAACAAATGTGTGCAAACCAGATCCTGCCAAAAAAAAAAAGGTGTTTATGAGGAGAAGGTAATGAAAAACGCTTTGATTTAGCAAGCAAAGCTACAATCATCAAGATATGCCCAGAAACATTACAGCTATAAAAATAGGGTGGTTATTTGTTTACTGGAAAATAAATGTGATTTATGCAGCTTTGGTCTAACTAAATTCTAACAAGGACTTCCAAGATGCAGCCAGGTCAGTAAGCTCTACATCTTATGGTGTGTACAAATATTAAATTTCACAACAAAAAACATAAAGAAACACAACCTACAATCTCAATGCATCTACCAAAAAGGCCCACCATAGCATGATACTATATTTGCATATATCGGATTCAAAAGGGAAGAACTTGCATCAGTATCTCAATTTCAATTCAAACATGTATTTGATTCACACTCCATGTTCTAAGAAGTATTTACAATCTGAAAAAAGGAAAAAACGGAGTCTTTGTTTAAGGAAATGCGTGCTTTAGTCATTCATCTAGTTTAATAATGGTTCTGAAAATTAAAGAAGTATCAGATGAAGCAATCTTTGCACCAATCCCCAGTTAGTGTTTCAACAACCAAGATCCTCAAGTTGCACATATAATTTGAATGAGAATTTCTTGCATTTCAAAAGGAAAACACCATATCATCATCCTATGGCTGCTGCCAAGTCAATCAGGAGTTGAATCTCCACAATAAAGTCATGGGAAATACTAAGTTGCAAGGAGAGCAGGACTCTAGCAGAAAATATGAAATTCACTGATTTTCTGCTCAACATTTGCTTAACCAGCTTTTAGCCAATGCTTTGAAAATCCTAGGTATTCAGGTAATTTTTGGACATAAAGAAATGAATCTGGAACCAGAGGTACATTTCATGTAACCCTGGACAGATAACGTTCCAACAATCACTTACCAGAGTAAGGATTTCGTGAATTAAGGCCTTCCCTCTTCACTCGTGATGGATTATTTTGTTTACCATGACCTGGAGCAGTATTAAGAAATCTACCAGTCATCCTAGATAATGATTGTTGATTGATATTTGGGCAACTCCTTTAGATGCCTAAAAGTGTGACTAATACTTCCTAAGAAAAAATAAAAAGAAACTAGATTTTAACACCTAATTCATGGAGAGTCAATAAGATTTATCAAAAAAAAAAAAAAAAAAAAAAAAAATAATGAATAATCTTCCAAACCTAATACAAGCTTATCATGAGAATTACACCCAAAGTTGCAGTTTAGTGTCCACTTACCAAATCCAATTGATGACACTACACCAAGGGCCAACCACCATAGTCCAAACCGAAGGTAATGAAGGAGCTCCTGAACATGCTGGAATATCACCGAAGTAAAAGCATAATTAAAAGCCAACTCCATCAACTGTTTATAGAAGAATATTACAGTAAAAACAAGTCTAGGAGCCACAGTAGCCTTCGAGTTAGAGACATTGAACCAACAATGGTTGATCAAAATTTCACAGCCACTTGAAAGAGGTTTCGTCCATACAAGAAGAAATGAGTTCATTGAACATGAACAAATATGGGATGTTTTTCATAACAAAGCAACAAAGCAACAAAGAGAAATTTCAAACTGTAAGTACCTCTTCATGAGCTCCTCTAACATGCGTAACCACTATAGCAATACCGCATGCCAATATGCCTAAAACCATAAGCCAACCATGCTTTGCAAAGATACCAAAGAACAGTTGTTGAAGACATTTAAAAACAGCCAAACTGAAATATTTTAGAGTCTTTAAAGGGTCTGTTGTCAGTGTCAGATTTTCTAGCTCCCACAGATGCTTCTCATGAAGTCCTATAGAAATTAGAAAATCAATCAGTTAAAGAAAAACAAGATGACTTTCCCACAGTACCACCATTGCTTCAGATCTTGACATGTGTGTCTGTGCAGCTGTGCTTCCTCATTTTTCTTATGCTAGATAAATAGAATAAAAATGTAGCACTTATCCCAAAAAAATGAAGAATAAAAATGTAGCACTTATCCCAAAAAAATGAAGAATAAAAATGTAGCAGATACAAATATTGAGTCCTAGAAGATGGCAGTGGTTTAAAAAACCTTGCCTGCAGAGGCAAAGGGAGAAGGGAACTAGTAATGGCCACGCCCCTCGTAACCCTCCATAGATACCGTCATGTACAATTCAGTGTCCAAGTATTGGTCCCCCTCATAATGATAATGCTCTCCCCAAACTTATATAATTTAATGCCTATTTTGCATTACCCAAATTCAAATGTTGGCTCTTGCCTCTAATTTAAAAAAAAAATTATTTCAGTCTAATTTTGACTCTTTGCATTCTAACCTAATTTTCTTGTTGAATTCATCACTTTAGAACTCTAACAAATACAGGTGCAGAAAGTTTTTTTTTTTTTTGGGGGGAATGAAAATATGCCAAACTTGTATTCTAAACTTTGTTTTGTAACAAAACATTGACACAATATGCTAATATTTCAATGCAAAATGATCATCTCAAAAGTCAAGACATTACTTTGGTAGCACTACACAAATTTTTGTGGCTCTGCCCCTGCTTTTTTGTATCACACTACATTCACTTAGTTTACTTAGGAAGGGTGACCCAATGCACGAGGCTCCCAATAAATCAAAGTTTGGAGAGAGCCCAATGTACTCAGCTTTATTCTAATTTCTGAAGAGGCTATTACTGTGACTTCAACCCGTGCCAGTACGGACACTAACAAGAAGCCTTCCAATTGGGCCAAGCCGCCCTTTCAAGCATATTAATCCATTATTTAATGCAACAGACAAACTGAGACATGGGTTGGCCAAAAAACTGCAAAATTTTACAGGGTAGTTTCTGTTGCGCCTAGAGGACAGAAACAAACACCAAACAAACAATCACACAAACAAACAACAAGGATTACATGGTTTGGCAATGTGCTTACGTCCACAGCAGGGGATTTCACTATAGTAAGAGAAAACAAGATTACAACAATGAAGGAGAATGAGACAACACCCTCAAACTCAACTCACACTTCTCACACACTTTGATTGCTACACTCTTTCACACTCTTGCTGCTTTTCACTTGCACACTACTTGCTCTTTTCTGGCACACTATTTGCACACTACTTTTGAATGAGGCAACCTGTTCTGTGCAGAGCAACTCGTGCTTCAACTTGCTTAGCTTCTAGAACAGCAGTTTCAAGCAGACCATTTTGCAAAATCCAACATTTCTAATGCTGTAATGTAATTAAAACACTGACATCCAGCAATGGAAGTTGGTTTTGTGACACTAAATTATTCAAACCGGTTGAGCCTAAAATTTTCTTCCCTCACATAAAACAATAAAATAATTATATGAAGATCAGAATGTTAAATTATGTTCCTTTCCTACAGTTTTCGGCGCAACCAAACAGTAAGCAGTAATTAAAAATGAAGAACTGAAAGCTTCAAGCCTTAATTGGAAACAACACAACAGTAACTCTCTCAATTTGCTCAACAAAAATTCTCTATCAAAACACTTATTTAGCTTATTCACCAAATCACACGAATTTCATTTTCTTTTCCCGTCCTTCATATTTTCCCAGCAACCAAACAGAGTGAAACAACATAAAAAATAAAAAAATCCACAAATCAGTCAATTTTAAATCAAATACAGAACACAAAACACACATACACATACATTATAGATAGAGAAACAGTAGCAGTAATTAAAAATGCAGCACTGAAAGCTTCAAGCCTTAATTGGAAACAACACAACAGTAACTCTCTCAATTTGCTCAACAAAAATTCTCTATCAAAACACTTATTTAGCTTATTCACCAAATCACATGAATTTCATTTTCTTTTCCGTCCATATTTTCCCAGCAACCAAACAGAGTGAAACAACATAAATAAAAAAAATTAAAAAAAAAAAAAAACACAAATCAGTCAATTTTAAATCAAATACAGAACACAAAACACACATGCACATAGATTATAGATAGAGAAGCAGTATAACTAACCTGAAACAGATGAGTCAACGTGAACCTGAGAATGAACAACAGAAGTTGAAGAAGAAGAAAGCGCTTGTTCTTGAGACCCCATTGCCAGCTCGCCTCAACTCGACACCCTCTCCGAATCACCAACACCAAACACACAATCCCTACTATTTGTAGGGATTTGGATTGGCCTCGGGGACCACAAATTCAGGTTTTCTCGAGAATCGAGATTTAAAGTACGTGTTTTGTGAATTCGAGAAATGACAACCACAATTAATCGACAGTTTTCAAAATAATTTTTTGACAGCTTAAAATTAAAAAAAAAAAAAAATTAGTTTATAATTTTTTAAAAATTATTTTTAATATATATATATTTTTATTTTTTCTATCATCCTTGCACATTTTACAAATATATTTTTTTAAACACATTTTATATATCAATTAATTATTTTTTTTTTATTTTTTCATATTCTATATATCAATCAATTAATTTTTCTCTCCTATCTATTTATTCAATTACAAATAAATCATCACAAATTACAAAGTTTTACAAAATTATTTTTTTAAATTAATTTTAAAATCAAATCAAACATACCTAATTGTAGAGCTTGGGATTTTTGGAGGTTTTGCGTTATAGTTTGGGGAAATATCAGTTGACTTTGTAACAAAGAATTATAAAAATATTAATAATTTATGAAGAATTTTGTAAATATTAATAATTATAATTTTTTTATTTTTATTTTTCAAAATTTTCCTTGTAATTTGAAAGAGAGAGAGAGAGAGAGAGTGACAGATGGTCGACACCAAAGCCGCGTAGAGTAACGTGTAACTGTTTAATGCATCAGATGGAACTTTTGCCATTAATATGTAGAGCACCTATTATATTAACGCGTAGAGTACTTATAATTCTATATTTTTTAAATTATAATTAAAAAAAATTAATCAAACACAGATTATAATTGAACAAATGTCACAGTACTATATAACGTGGGTTTTTATGTGTACTTAAGTTCGGTATAACATCGAACTTTTATATCTGTCTAAATTTGATTTAAAAAATAATTTTAAATTTTAAATTCATCTATCAATCAGGTTATATGTGTAAAAAAAAAATTAAATCATTTTATAATTAAATTAAATATAAATATATTGACATCATTTTAAATCGAAATTTTTTTTAAATAAATTCAATCACACATCACCATAAATGTAAATTTTAATAAAATTAATAAAAATAAAGTATAAATCCTAATAAAAAATATATTTTTTAATGTATTATAAATAAATAAATACTTAATTTAATAGTGGGCCGAGCCAAGTTGGGTGGAAAGTATAAATTTCAAACCTAACCTATTAAAATTTTGGACTTTGGTCTAACTTGACCCTATGAGCTAAAATAACCTTCTCAAGTCCTAAAAAAAATAAGGCTGGCTAGGTGGGCCAATGGATAGATGTTCATCCATAAGTGAGGTATAACCAAAAATTTTAAAATAACATCACAACTAAAGAAAAAAAATTAATCATAATTAAAAAAAAAAAAAATTGACACAACTATATGTTCAGAAGTACGTCCGGTAGAATTCTCCTAGGGTTAAATGTGTAGAAAATAAATAAAAAACAATAAATTGCACTAGCCTACACGAGGTTTTCATTTTTTCTTTACAATAGGAATTGTATGTTCAAAATCAAGATAATGGTTGTATATCAGACCATCTCTAACGTTGCATCAGATTAAGTATCAGATTTGAATTTGATGAAAAAAGTCAATTTTTCTCTCTGCAATGGTTTCACCAAACTGATATCAAACTGAGAATGGAGCAAAAGTTTCATCAAATTGAGGATCCATGTGAGATTTCACCATTTTACTGTCTAGTAACGTTGGAGTGGGGCCCACGGTCAATCGGCGCATGTCCAATCTGCGAACTGGTTGAAATGTTGCTAAAACAGAGGGATTTGACAAAGGAAATGTTGATCTTCTACCCTTCGACAAACTGACTACTCACGATGATGATGATGTTATCCCACAATTGAAACCTGAGTAACTATTTGTTCTTCCCTAAGAAATTGATTAGTCTTAAGAGTTTTCTTTCTTGAATCTTTTCTGTCTGTATACGAATGCATGTTTATATACACACATATACAATATGTTTTTGAAAAAATTGCATGCATGCAAATTTCATCAAAGAATAACAAATTTGTTTATCAGTTAAGTATATTGTGAATTTTTTCATTCCAATTCCTTCCCCTTTCTCGGCTACCAAAAAGAGACCTGGGATTTTCACCTTTGTGATCTTTCTTTTACTATCTTTTGCACCCATTCAATGATAAAGAGCCACTAACAAATTAATTTGTTAAAGTAAGTTCTGGTGTTTTTTTGTTCCATATAGCCTTTTTGTCCCATTTGCAGAATCAGCATTTCTTGATTGAATTTGTCATAGGAGAGGAATCCAAGACCAACTACCTTATTCATGAATTCAAGCAGAAAAAAAAAAAAATTTGAGTTGCCTACCCGGTCGACCCACCGGACGTCCCCTTCGCCACGTTATAGTGGAACGATTAGAGCTGCTCATATCAGATTGAGAAAATTACCTTTTTTTTACGCAGGTTTGGTGAAAATTTTATTGAACCGTTGGAGATGCTCTTAACAAGGGAGAGTTCTACCATACACAGTCTTCATTATATGTATATTTAATTATATTATTTTATTTTTTAATTATAATTAATTTTTTTTCTTTAATTATGACATTATTTTAGTTATTACTAAGGAGATCTTTGGTTATATCTCATATGGTGTTTAGTTATAACTTCTTTTTTTTTTAGTTGTCTATACTATTATTAAAATTGAATACCTCACTTAGTGTCTAAGAAATTTCTTTTTACCAAGTGATTTTCTTTTCTTGTGTAAAGTGTTAATTTTTCCATTCAATAGTGTCAATTTCTACATCCAAAAGGAAAATAAAAATACTAATTAAAAGTGGAGTATGAGACTTGAACCTAAGACCATTCACTTAACTTACTAAAGAACACTTTTATCACTTAAACAACATAAAGAATATGTTACAAATTCAAAATTAAGATTTATATTTTAAATCCACACATCGGGTGGGCTCACACCCCTAGTAACTTAGAAAGTATGAAATTGTACAATTTTCTTTTTTAATTATAAAGTACATATCATACACCTTTTGAGTAGTATGTGTGAGAATTAAAATTATTTTAATTCAGAAAGAAGAATACCTCCTGTCATGATGTTCAAGCCATTGAATTTTGTTCTTGAATGATCAAACTTGAATGTATAAACGAAAACACACTCATAGAACACTTTTACAGAACCATATGGGAAAAGTGGAAGGAACAGAGTTTCAAACATATTCTATTAACAAAACAACGTCTGTGTTTGATGGCTATCACTTGCATATATATATAGATAGGCTTGAACTCATATCCAAGTGTAACTCCTTATAACTTCCCACCATTAGGGAAGTTGTAACCTCCCATGAAACCACCATATGGGATGGTAGGTATCACACACGTTAGTTACCCAAATAATTCTGATTAAATAAATAAATAAATAAATAAATAAATATATATATAAATATATTTAATATTTCTATAATAATATAAATAAAACTAATGTGGCATGTAGGCCACTTTATGGAGACATACTTACATTCTCCCATTTGGCACATGTGCCACATTTTGCTAACTTTTGGGTAACCAACAAACTAATTATGCCCATTAAACAAAAAATACCCAAACCTTATAAGAGTCAAGATACACGAATCATGGCAGTCATACTCTACTAATTGAGTATTTCCTTCCATGTATTACATTGTATAATACTCTTAACTTTATGTGGTGTCATTCTTTATAAATAACTTCTAATAAGTTATTCTGGGTCTAATGATCCCTATGGATCAATAGTGTAGCGATCTCGGTTTCGACCCTTCTTTCATGTGTTTGCCACTTCGACTGGGCAGGTCTGGGATCGAGCTCCCCAGTCAACTTGTAGGGGTCCAAGGGGCAGCGTCCCTTGGTCGGTTCGAGGGCAGCGCCTTGGCAGGGTCGAGGGGCAGCACCTCCGAAGCAAAAATACAAAATGCATTCGTAGTTGCTTGGCCGCTCGAGCGGAGAATGTTTGGTTCCAGAAGTTTGACTTGTCTGCAAAAGTACTGAGAAGGTGTATTCGACGCTCGAGCGGACCATGTTATATCAGTTCGTGAATCTGATATTTTAGATCACTTTTGTATATCTTTCTCTCTCTAAAAACATTTCCTCTCCCTTCTCTATACATTTCCCTACGCCAAATTGGATCAAAACCTTGATTTCTCAAGATCCATTAAAGTTCTGCCATAGGTTCTTCATCAAAGTTAGTTAACTTCTTGAGAGCTTCGTTGTGTGCGGTGACGATCAAGTTTCGACACCATTGATTTTGGGGGTTTTATCTCATTTCTTCTTCAAAACTTGAAGTAGGGATTTTCTTAGAGTTATGTATATATTTTTGTAAGATCTAGATGATTTTAGAAATCATCATTCGATAGCTTTGAAAATTGATTGTTAATTCAAGAAGTTGAGTGATTTTGAAAGTGAGTTTGTCTATTGTTCTTTTAAAATGATCATATGGGTTTTGATCTTCATTGATTGAAGAAAAGATAATTTTAGAAAGTTTTCTTTCAAAAGATTTGAGTTGTATAGTTTTGGTGAGAAAACCTAGAATTTGGGAATTTTTTTTAAAGAGATTGAAAATCCATAAATGATATTGTTATATTTATTTTGTGTGTCAAAATAAATGGATGTTTGGAAAACTTCTTATTTATATTTATATAAATGATGAATTTCAGGGAATATGAGAATTGTTATTCATTTTGGAAATTATTGTTCAAAACGTTGAAATAGTCTTGAAATGACTAATTGTTGAGGATACTTGAGAAAAAGGGAATTGTGTTATTTATTGGATGATGAATTGGAATAAAAATATTTATATTTATCTTGTGTTATTGGCATATCAATTCATTTGATTATATTAAACTTTGAAAGTTAATTTAAAAACTTGCATTAAGAAAATAATGTTGAGAAACAAGTTTCCATGAATTGGTTTTGGGGTAAATACGGTGGTAAGTCTTGACAGGTGGTGTAGATGAAATTGAATAGGTGTTGAGTCTTCCAGTCAATACTGGTAAAAAAGACAAATTATAGGTGTCGAGCCTTCCAGTCAATGTTG